GCGGGGGCAGGGCCAGCCTCACCTCTCGGTGGCCCCGGCGTGGCCCCGGGGGCGACCTGGGCCTGTCCGACCCCGCGGCGAGGACCGCCGCTCACCCCGCCAGGCTGCGGTCCCTGCAGCCCGAGGACGCGTCCAGTCCCTTCTTCCCGCCCTGGAAGGCGTCTTCCGGAGGGCAGAGCTCAGCACCTCTCGCCCTAAACTGCTGTCGCACTATCCCCGAAGGCCACGCCGTCCCTTTCCCGAGTGTTTTTGTTTTTTAAACCAGCCCCATTTATCACTGCCAGCCTGACGATCGCCGGACACCAACTGTTGCAAGCTCTTTGATAACTGCTTTTCTGAACTTCTCAGATGCGACTGTTCCTGCCAGGAACTGGTTTAAGAAGCCGAATTAAGAATAAATGTCGAGAAGGTGTTGAAGCTACTGAGCACTCAGATGTTCAAAGGTGAAATGCTTGCGTTTTATTAACTCACCGAAAATTTTAACCAACATTTGTAATAGTGAAGATTTTTAAAAAGAATTTAAAGGGGGTTTTTTGAAAAAAAAAAAGTTACCGCTACCAAGGATGATCATAGACGAAAATCTCAAGCTAGCACATTCAGAACATCTATGTTACATGGAAAAGGGCTTCAGAAAATTTGTTGAGAGAGTCTCAGAAGAAAGCTTAATAATAATTAAAGCAGAGTCTTGGAAAATGATTTAATTTTAGGTATTAGGACAGGAATCTAAATGTTCACTGAAGGAAATTGAAGATGTTTCTTAAAATCGTTAAATCATTGAACATAATATGGATCTTAATTATTAACTGTTACTTTGTAGAGAAAAGTAAGAAGTAAAAAGAAGGAAGGGAAAGAAAGGAGATTTAAAAAAAAAAAAAACCAAAAGAAAAAGGGGGAGAAGAGTTCCCTTTACCAATAGACCCAGTGCCGTAGCTTTCTAGGCTCTTCTCCAGCTTTTGGGTCAAAGATTAGGGCATTGCATCCCAGCTTTTAGATATTTAAATTTCAACTTAATGACTTGGTTTTAACTACCTTAGGAGGTAAAGTCAAGTCGTTAAATACTTAACACCAAAGGTCTCTTTGATATGCTGATTTCTGTTTCTTCAATAACAATGTCTTGGTTCTTGGGACTAAACAAGCAACATTTGGTCATATGGAGATTGGCTTGCCCATCCATAGGGTGAATTAGAAGTCCAGTTGAACAGGAGTCCTTTGAGATGTATGAATCTCAGGATAAGTAACTATCTCTACAGTTCTCAACATTCCACAGCATTTCATTGTCTAAGGTACTGCCAAGTAAACAAGTCATTAAATATTTAGTGGCTTTATATAATTCTATCCTGAGCAGTGAAGGAAAGGGAAATCTCAGGTAGAATATTCCTATAAATTCTTTTCATATAATGGCAGATCATCTTGATTTGCTAACCTTAAATTTCCTGTGTTCACCACTAGATGGTAGATCTGAGTCTTTTGTAACATTTAACCAAGTTTCGGTGACATTTGGAGGAACTGTGTTTCATCAACAATTTCTTTGTTAATTTCATATGGATCATGTCTGAAACAAGAGAATAGCATAACGGGATTTACTTTTATTGCCTATACTACGGTATTTGACACTTTGGGTCATAATAAATGATAGATAACATTTTAAAACATTTCCGAAAACTTAATTGCGTTCATGAGGAACTAAAATGCCTTCCTTTGAAAAGCACAAGGATATATACTGTATGATTTAAAATCACGAAAGATGTGCATCGAGGTTGAGTCTTTTCACTATACTGGGATCCACTTCCTAAACAACATGCCCCTGGAAACTTCATGAACTTTGATAAATGTTGATAGTTGTAGTGGGGCTTCAGGCCTTTTGTTCATAGGGTTGCTAATGAGTTGTGCTTAAAGGAAATCATCAACAACAACAACTATTCGATATTCAAGGTGAGCAAATACTTCAAGAAGCTGGGCTCTGTGAAGGACAATTGTGGCATTAGAGTTGGAAGAAGACTCATCAACAACTTCAGTATATAGATGATTCATCCTTTCTTGACAGAGGAAAACTTGAAGTACTTAGTGCAGAGATCAAATACTTAAGCCTTCAATATGGATTACACCTTAACCTCAAGAAAACGAAAATTCTCACCACTGGGCCAATAGGCAACATTATGTTAGGTGGAGAAAAGATTGAAATCGTCAACAATTTCATTTACTTGGATCCAATATCAAAACCCATGAAAGCAACATTTAAGAGATGGAATGATATATTGTATTGAGGAAATCTGCTTTCAAGGGTCTCTAAAATGTTAATGAGAATGGGATGGAAAATAATGCAGTGACCATGGAAAATAGTTTGGTGTTCATTAGAAAGCTGGGCATAGAAGTATCATTTGATCCAGCAATCACTATGTAAGACCTATGTCCCAAAGAAATAAGAGCTTCCACATAAACGGTCATACACACACTCATGTTTATTATAACATTATTTACATTAACCAAGAGCTTGAAACAGTCCGTCAACAGATGTGAAACATTCACAAAAATGGAGCATTTGCATCACTGAAAAATCATCAATAATTCTTGGAATACTGTACAACATGGATAAACCTAGAAAAATTATACTGAGTGACATAAGTGAGTAACAAAAAGACAGTAACAGAAAGATCAGTCTAGTGGTAAGAAGCTGAGCCACAATCCCAAAAGCATGCGGTTTGAATCCACCAGCTGCTCCTCAGGAGGATGGCCAGTCTTCTCCTGTGTGATTAACTGCCTCTGAAAATGGGGTGGACAGTCAGCTGCAAGTCATTTCTGAATCAAGGGCACACAGCAATAGTTGTAAAATGCTAAGAAGGGTTTACAAACAGAACCAATCTTGGAGAATTAACGAGTATGAGAAGCGAGAGAAAGGGGAGTAAATATAATTGAGTGAAAGGAAAGGCAATCTATAAAAAGGAATTGGTCAGATATTGTAATTATATTAATCGTAATTGTTATAATATCTTTTTAAATGATTGAATTAAAAGCCAATGTGATTTGCACACTTTCACCCCTCAAATTAAAAAAGGTACATTGGTAATTATAGATGTAGCCCTGGACTACTTACTAGTCTCTGCCAAGATACTTAGAAGACAGCTGCCTGGCTTACTGACAGGAGGAGGTCCATGTTTGTTCCCATCCCCAAAAGTAGCCCAGCAGAAGGAAGACATTATCAAACAATATTGTTAATATCACATGCAAGTAAAATCTTGAAGCTATTTTTTTTTTAATGGCTGAGCCATTAAACATCACTGCATTGGGTGGGGTAGGAAGAAGCGGGAATATCCATCCATAGAGAACTGACAGAAACTCAAGTTGGATTCAGAAAAGCTTGTGGCATGAGAGTTGTCATTGTTGATATCAGATGGGTCTTGGCTGAAAATAGAGACTATCAGAAAGACGCTTGTGTTGTATTGACTATACAAAGGTATTTGACTATGTGGATCATATCAAATTATGGATTACACTAAAAAGAATGAGAATTCCAGAGCACTTAAATGTGATTCTAGGAAACCTGCACATAGACCAAAATGCAGTTGTCTAAACAGAACAAGGGAACACTGCATGGTTTAAAATCAGGAAAGGTATGCATCAGGATTATATTGTTTCTCCATACCTAGTCAATATGCTAAGCAAATAATTTGAAAAGATGGACTAGATGAAGAAGAATGTAGTATTAGGGTCAGAGGAAGACTCATCAACAATCTTTGATATTGCAGATGACATATTCTTCCTTGAGAAGAGTGAAGAGGACTGTTGATTGTGGATACAAGTAAGATAAAATTGTTACAACTGCATTCCTTTCCCAGTCTATCATGATGCGGCCCATTGGCCTGATGGTGAAGATTTTTGTGTTCTTTATCTTGAGATGGAATCCTATTGAAGGCTGTAGTCTTTGAACTTTTGCAGCAAATGCCCCAAATTCTCATTTTTGGAAAGCAATGTTGTGTCATCTATATAATGCACGTTGTTGATAGGTCTTCCTCTGATCTTGACATCACATTCTCCTCTGTAAAGTCCAGCTTCTCAAATGATCTGCAGATTAGTAAATAGATGGAAAAGGTATGGAGAAAAGATATATCCCTCATGCACACCTTTCTTGATTCGGAACCATGTGGTGGTCCCTTGCACTGTTCAGACAGCAGCTTCTGGGTTTCTGTATATGTTTCACACTACCACAACTAAGTGTTCTGGGATTACCATTTTTCTCAATGTTAGCCATAGCTTGTTGTGATCCATACAGTCAAATGCCTCTTCATAGTCAATAAAACACAAGTAGACATCTTTGTGATAGCCTCTGCTTTCAGCCAAGATCCATCTGACATCGGCAATGATATCCCTGGTGCCAGAGCCTTGTCAAAATTTTGCTTTTGTTTTTGGCAGTTGTCCATCAATGTACTGTTCTAGTCATGTTTTTCCTAATATTCATCAGTTTTGGTTGCATGTGATATTAATGATATTCAATAATTGCCACATTGTGTTGGGACACCTTTTTTGGGAATGGAAATAAATAATAATCTCTTCTAGTTACTTATCCAGGTATCTGTCCTCCAGGTTTCTTGGCACAATCTGGTGAGCATGTTGAGGGCTGCATCTGTTTGTTGGACTATGTCAGAACAACTTGAACTTGTCCCTTCATTACAATTAGTTCCATGGTAATTACAGCTAAAGCATCAAAAGACTTGTTGCATTGACAAAATCTGCGGCAAAGATTCTCCAAAGTGCTAGAAAAGCAATGGTGTAAGTTGAAAGACAGATGCTCTTGATTCAAGCTATATTTTCATTTGCTTTAGGTGCATATGAAAGTTGGCTGATGCACAGAAAGACTGCAGAATCTGTGCCTTTGAAGAATGGTGCTGGA